GGCTTACCGGGTGTCATGAAAAACGGTGTACGAATCTGGTACATAAAGTAAACCCTATTGTGGATGTTACCCTCAGTCGAACAGGGTTGAAAAGTCTCATATAGGAAGAGATTGGGAAGTGTTTATTCACGCTCATACCGGACGAGATATTGAGGTGATGGTACATTTGATGTCCATTACCGGACGAGGTATGAGGACGATAGGTTGATTAATAGATTGGATATTGAGTCCACGTATAGTGGGGACCCCTATGAACTCCCAACAGCATCAATAAATACGTAAAAAAGTAAAAACTTGACTATTGCTTGTTTCTTAAAGTGTTTAATATATTACTATCTTGATTCTTCATTTATAAGTAGCATTTGAGGACTTGAAATGTGAGTACGAAATTATTGTTTTTAAAATCAAATGAATTTACAAAAAAAAAAAGCTTCATTGGTTGTTTTGTGATTTGTTTTACTAATATTTAGTTTTTTGTATTGGTAGTAAAGTGTTGATATTCTTATTAGACTAATGTAGTTCATCTCCCTTTATTAACCATTTCATATCAGGACGATCTTGATCCGAATCCTGAGCGGTAGGAAAGTCAGTAATTGAAGGTTGCCTCCCGTTTTCTACTAGTGGCGCAGCTGAGGTCGACTCCATAGGTTATACTTATACTTTTCTTCAGTTATTTTAATTTCTTTCAAAGGACATTTTCGTTACTCTATTGAACATTCTGATTAAACTGTGTAAAGAATGTAAATTCTAAATTCTTAATTATTTTCGCTAATATCTTATAAATTTCAGTATTATTATTCAATTGAATTTGGACCTTTACAATTTATAATATATATAAATCTTAAATTAAATTTATGCAGCATATAATGAAACATTTTACTCGTACACACAATGTTTGGTTTTAAATATCTTTAGAATGAGATTGTTATAATAGCGAATCTACCACGTTATAATCATATTAACATTGTATAATTTGATATAGATATATATGTAATGTTAAGTTCATTTTTTAATCAAAAATAAATATTCGAGTCACTTAAATAATAACATATGATACAATATTTTACATTTATGCGTAATATTTGATCTTAAATTTCCTTTAGAATGAAATTATTGTCGTAGTGTCTCCACCAAATTTCATGTGGCGGGCAATAATTCAAACAAGAGGATCATTACTTTCATTTTATCTAATGTAAATTTGATTACAAAGTCTAATCAAAATTTAGTCATGCAAAAGTCCAATTTGATTAATTAAAATGTTCAAAATGATTATTTAGATTTAATTAATTACTTATCTAAACACTAGGGTGCAAAAAAAAAAGACATATATACATTGCGTATCTATACATATTATGAATTATCTCTTTATAGATATAATCTTTTATTACTCTAGTTAACATTAAAACAATGATGGCCGGATCCAACTTCAATGGATAAATTTAAAAGATTTATCAGCCAAGAGAATCTACACCTTTTATACGTACGTACATATATATATATATACACACGCACATATGTGTGGGTGTGTGTGTGTGTATCTATCTACTTCCACAGGTTTATGCCAATACCATCGAACTATATTGGACCGACGATATCAAAGTTTTATCAACTTGTTTCATTCTTTATTTTAATTTTTATAAATTAGATATTATTATAAATTTAATCGACAAGTCAAAAACTATATAATATACATTAGATAAAGAAAGGAATAAAAATTAATTAACTTTTTGAAAGTTGCAAACAACAATAAACTAAGTGGGTCCATTGCTGTCTATCCATACATATCTATACATACACAAGCAATATTTTTCTTATTTTTTTATCGGATAGTGATCTTCAAAGTTGAATCTAAAGTCATAATTATCTGATTGCTATATTTTTTTAATAATATATTTTATATTTTATTATTTAATGCAACACTAAAATTAAGAAAATTAGTTTCAAAAAAATTGTGAATTTCCCTGGTACATAATTATGAGCTATCATACTTAATCGATGTGGGTTATATTTTTAATATATTTTTTTGTATTAAGATTAATAAAATTAAGTTATAAGACATGAATATATTGTTTTTAATACCATAAACTTTTTGATGTAACTCATTATAATTAATGATTCAATTGGGTATTATAATATAGTATTTGAATCTCTGTATAGCTGTATTTCTCTTAATTACTTTTTTTAATTACATCTTAATTAATTTCAATATGAAGTAGTGTAACCAAATGAATTATAATTTAAGCTCAGACAAGTCATTTTAACATCTAATTTTTCTCAAAATGTAAAATTAATAAATAAGCAGATAAAGGGTAGCCCACATATATATATATATATATATATATGTATATTATATCAACCAAAATAATTAATTATAAGATAAAGTGATTATATAGAATGAGGTGAGTAAAGTACGAGCATAATTGGGTGATAATCATACATGTTTTATATTAACATGCATATTAGCTTTTGCCTTCTAAAGTGGGGAACATGGGAAAAGAAAAGCCTCTTTTACGAAAGTTTTTATACTTTTTTTTTTTTTTTTTTTTAATGTATTAAATAATTTATTATCTTATTTTTAGTTAACTCAATTAATGATGCATTAATATTTTTAAAAAATGTTAAATAATAAATTAAAAAATATCAAACTACAAGAATTCAAATTAAAAATTAAAAATTTAATCTTTGTTGGCATTAAAAAAAATGTCAATGTCATTTAAATTATAAATTCTCAATAATAGTATAATTAATTCTATATGTGCATTTAATTGAGACTAGAGGAAATGACTAAAAATAGTAAAACTATTTTAATCATACAGTGTTTCTTGATATATATATATATATATATATATGTATGTATGTCAATGATAGAAATAATAATTGAACAAAATTAAAAAATTATCAACCATGAATCCCTTCAAATGATACCTCTTCAAAGTCAACATCTTTCCATAGTTTCTAATGAATACTATATAAGCTTTGAAAATATAACACTTTTGAAGTCATAATCTAGCTAAGATATGGTATATCAATTGGGCAATTTTAATTTGTGATAAAGTGCATGCAATTGTTTTTTATTTTCAATTTTCAAGAAGTTGAAATTTGAAAGGTAATATTAGTAGATTTGACCTTTGTTTAAATAAATTTCTAATGAATTTTTGAACTTTGTTTATTATATTCATTTAAAAAAAAAAAAATCTTTAAATGAGATTAGTAAATTAATTAACCCAGTTTAAATATTTCGTTTTAATAATTTAAATTTCTTGTTTTACTCTAAGTCATTTAGTTTATTTGATAGATTATATCATAAATATACACTAGTTATTCAATTTCTACGATTGACATATAAGTTATTTTGATCACACGGTAAGTAATGATATTTTGTGTACTAGTTCGTAGTAAACATTATAATGTTATAGAAAATAAAATGAAGGAAAATTATAAATTTATTAATTTAATTAATTTTTAGTTAGTTTTTAAAATGTCTAACTAGTTTTAATTTTAATTTTTTGTTATAAAATAAAAAAAATTAAATGTTTAAAATAAATAGACCGAATTATAATAAAAAAATATTAAAAATTAAATTATAATAAGTATTATATTTTTAAAATTATTTTAATAATTTATCCTTTTTGTTAAAAGAGCTTTCTTCATATTAATAAGAACATTTAAAATTCTTATATATCATCTGAGTTTCTAAAGCCTTTAAACAATGTGGATATTTGGGCCCCAATTTATATCAGGCCCACTGATCATATATATACATATACATATACCATATATATGTATGGTTTAAAGTTATGAAATGGAACATAAAATTATATTTTTGATTGATTTAATTATCTTTATTAAAAAAAATATAAAACTAACTTCTTATCATTATATATATATATATATTTTTATTATTAAAAGTTGTGTTCTTTAATATATAATAATTAAAGAATTATGTACCACTTAATTAATAAATATATAATTTTTTTCATCTTATAAAAAATATAAATTAATTTTAAATCAAGCAAACACTAACTACTTTTGTCTTTTAAAAATTACTTAAAACAGAACTTTTAATTTTAAACAAAATAATTTCGTTTGTTGAATAAAAAAAAATTAAATAAATATGCCGAGAAAATTGACTGCCCAAATAATTTAAAAAAAAACAATGAAAGTAGAAAAATATTAAATGAGACATCCAGGTGAGGGTCCACGGACGGTGATGTATCCGATGCCTACCACCAACTTTCCCATTCCCCACGTCCATATTTACGTCATTTTCTCCCCCCGATATTCTCAACCTTACACAATTCCCATATCGCGATATTGAAAAATCACGCGTTGTTTTCGACATCCACGAGAGTTTCGTTGACAAATAAAATTTATTATTTTTAAATAATAAAACATGTGGGGTTTTAATTAAAATAATAAAAAAAATGTGATCTCTCTTGTTGATGATGGAGGGCGTCAAGTCAGGCGGATGAAGAACTCGATGTAGCCGCGACACACTGGATCAAGTCTTTTTTTTTTTTTTTATAAATGAAATAATAGGAATAAATTAAATTAAATTATTTTAAAATGTATTCATAATTAATCTAATAATAAAATAAGAATAAGAGAAATTATAATAATTTTTGAATTAATTAATTTCGTGGGATTCAAATGGGTCTTACATAGAATTCATTAATCTATTAATTAGAGTTGTTGATAATTACACTAATAACACAACTATATGATGACCACCAACATTAAAAACCCTTATAATCATCAAGAAATTAAGACTCCAAAATTATTAATAAAACAAAAAACATATTATGTATATAAAAAATAAAAGAAACCTGTCATCCAACAAGAACATAAATGGCATATATAATCCCCGGGATGTAACCCAATATTGTGAGCAACAAATCTATCCAGAATTCCACCTGCATTTTCCATTATTTCAAATAGTTAAACACAATCAATATAATATAAAACAATATATATATATATATACATACACACATACAGATTATAATTAAAATTATAAAATGGGTATGAAGAAGGAAATTACCCCACAGCCATAACGAAGAAAGACTCCAACGGGAGGTATCAGAATGGCAAGAACGACTTCAAGGAAAGTCTCTGAACCCATGAGAGAGGATCGGAATAGGAAACTAAAACTGAGAAATAGGAGACTAATAAGGTGTGTCAAGCACCAAACTCACCGCCTTTTATTTCGATAACATAATAGGAAACGACAAGAGGAGACGAAGAATACTTGGCAAAACCCAAGGGGGTGAGGTGGACAACTGTTTCACGCTCTTGAATGCCACGTGTCCTCATATTTGACACGTGTTTTCTTTACCAGATTATTTGGTGTTTTAATTTTGACCCCGTTTCCTTCAATTTTATAGTTTTATTAATTTGAGTTTTTAAAATATTTTAATATGTCTAATATTATATAATATTTAATTTACTTTCCAATTAAAATATTGAGCATTTTTTCTTTTTAATTCCAAGTGGTGTTAATAATTTATTTTATTTTTAAAATGAAGTTTGCAATGGACCCACATTGGGGAAACATTCATGATGGACATGATGCATCATAAACTTTTTGTACTATAAAAATCGAAAAAAGGAAAGTAAATATATTTACCACTTTCCTTTTGGATGAAGCAATTCATTTCGCATAGAGTAGTGAGTTGGGTATGGGAAAATAGTATTAAAAGCGTAGAAAAAACTACATATGAATAGTAAGTCCAATGAGTAATAATTTGTGATTATATATATAACAGTTGTTCTGGCAGTAGTAGCAATGATAATAGTAATGGTGACAGTAGTAATATTGCTAGTAATAGTAAATACAATAATATTAATAGCGAGAATAATAGTGGAAATAATGACAAATTGATAGTGACAACAATAATATTTGAAGTAAAGTAATGGCAGTGGCGATGTTGATCGTAGTAATAGTTGTGACAGTAATAACAACTTTAATTTACAAAAAGAGAGAGTGGTAGTGTGATGAATAGAGACAATAATAATAATGGTGGTCAAGAAAGAAAATGAGAGGAATATGCCGGACAAATTTAAATATGATGTATTGAGATGAGAGACTTTTAATTTATAAAGTTTTACAGTGAATCAAAGCTTTATAAGTGTTCAAATGGATGATGTACAACTGTCTCTAAAATAAAAATCAGTTTCAACACATTGTCATTATATAATTCATGGTTGGCAATGATTTCGTGCAATGCATGTACAAATACATTGCTAACTATATTTTATTAGCTATTTGTCAATTTTTTTTTACAAGTCAGTGACGATAATGTTAAAGAAAAATAGTCACGAGAAAAATTATTATAATTATATCAGCAACAATTGGAGTGGCGATGGTGGCAGTAGTGATGGTAGTGATTGTAATAATATCAATGGTGGTGGTCAGTGATGATAATGTAAAGGCCCGAAAGCGTCCCCGCGCGCATAAACGACACAGGTTCGTTTCATCTTTAAACGCGATCGGACGATCGAGATCAAATTGCGATGAACAGTTCAGATTTATTTTCTCTTTAAACAAGATCGGACGGTCGAGATCAAACGTGATGAACGGTCCAGATTAACGCAAGACATGTATAAATATTTCGCATTACACTGAACTCAAACCATACCCGCCAGCCTCCCGCTGGAGAAGAAGAACCAATCGCCGGAGAATGAAGCCAACCACCGCCCGCCACCGCACTAGAGCCACATCCGACTGTCAAAAAAGGTAAAAATTCTCATATCCAATCAGAATTTGATTTTGAGCACCCCTGTGGCTAAATCAGAGTAAAAGAAATGGCGGGTGAGCCGAAAACTACAGACAAAACCCGACAGCACCGCCACAGGTAAAACCCACAATCGCCTTCGATGAGCCCCTTCCCGTTTTCTGTTTCGTGCGATTTTTTCATCATTATGTTTACAATTCTGTTTTCTACAGGTTGACCAAAGAAAAACGCTCAGTTGTGAGGGTGAGCTGGCGGAGCTGCCGCACCGAAAAATTTTGTCACCGGTAGGTTTCTATTTTTTGACTTTTTTCGACTAACCGAGGTCCATAACGTGTTTTCTCGGAGGGATGGATATAAAACTAGTCGAAACTGACTAAAATTGGCCGAAAACCGCCAGGCCAAGGCAAATTGCCACCTCAGGCGGCGGTGCCGTCACTGGAGCACGGCAGTGCCATCGTGTCGGAATCTTGAAATTGGTCGAAAAATGTTTTTTTTCCATCGATTTTAGATTTTGAGAGTATTTTTAGGTATGTAAAGTGTGTTTTAATCTCAGTAAAAAATTAAGGAAACTTGGGGACCGCCAGTAGACGCAGTAGAAAGTTCAGTATTTTGAACACCAATTCGGGTGAGAATCCCTCACTTTATTATCTGTTATGAAATTGAAACTTAATAATCAGTAATATGATATTTTGTGTAATTTAAAAAACTTTTAGAATAATTACAGGTTACCAATAAAGCTGAAAACTAGTTAGTTATTTATTTATTGTTCTGTTTAACTGATTATTGAATTTACAGCTTCAAATACATGATGATATACTGGAATGGTTAAATGATTCAATTTTGCTTCCTTGGTATATATATTGGTTGTCTTGCGTGATTTACGGTTGATTGTAAAATTAGAAATTAATATGCAAACAGAAATTTGTTTGGTCATGTGAATTAATGAATAGAAGTCTTACTTATTCTGAGAGATGGTGGACAAACTGGGTACATAAAAAACCCTACCGTGAATGTTGTCTCATACCGGACAGGGTATCGAGGAATGATATTTTTGGTGCTCATACCGAACAGGGTATGGGGACGACCCGATTCACCTTCATATCGGACGGGGTATTGAGAGATGATATTTTTAGCGCTGATACTAGACATGGTATGAGAGCAGTTGGTTAGTTGACAATGTTGGATATTGGTTCACACGTATTGAGATATCCTTATGGGTCCTTAGGGATACCAGTAGGCAAATAAAAAGGAAAAGTGGTTGTTATTGCTCACTTGAAAATGAAATTGAAATATTATTTGAGTTATTGTTTCTAAAGGTCGATTTTAAAAATTTTGCAACGATAAATATATGTAATAAATAGTTTTCTTTATGATAAATGAATTTACTTAAATCAAAAGTTTCATTGATTATTTTTATGATTTTTACCAACATTCAGTTTCTGTATCGGTGAGTAGTGTAATATTCTTACTAGCTAGTGTAGCTCACCATTTCATTAACTATTTTAAATCAAGAGTACCAAGATCCAGATCTCGATCAATAAGAGAGTTGTGAATAATTCACCACCCGAACTCCCTTTAAAAATTAGTGAAAGTCGTCATAGAATGCTTCATTATTTGTCTTGTATTTATTTCTTTAATTTTCGTTTATTCTTTAGAAGGGACGTTCTCGTATTTCTATTGGGTATTCTAAATTATTGTGTAAGGAATACAAACCCTAAACTCCATTATTTCGCTTTCATATTTAATTTATGACTTTATTATCTTTTAAGTTATGGATTTTTACAGATAACATAGACGAGAATGACCATGGTGATAATGATGATAATAATAACAACAATGATGGTGGTTACAACTATAATTGGATGAGAATTATATTATTCTTATCGAGTGATAAATATAAAAGAAAAAAAAGTAATAATTATTTTATTTTTTTAATATACTATCCACTTGGGTATTATTTATTCACCTTTAAATATTGAATGTTTTATTTTTTTTTAAAAAAAATTTATCCAAAAAAAAAAGTTGGGTAAGAGAAGACAAGAAGTCGTTCCTATTCTTACCATGCCCTATTTATTGTACCAAATGTAGTCTTAAACTTTTAGGTAAACAAATTAAATGGAATATTAATTATATTTCTAACTTTAGGCTTATCTTGTAAACTTAATATATTGACTCATTTTTATTAGCAATTAATATTTTTGACTAATATTGTAGGACTCCTACATAATTCATAATATTTTCTCCAATTCAATTAAATATATAAAATAACCAATAAGAACATTGTATCAAAAATTTAAAATATAATATAACTATTTTTTAGAGTACAACTTAATATGTATTAATTAGATGTTAAATAAGAGCAAAAAGTAAGATATTTATTATAAATTAAAATTTAAATAACTATTAGGTGAAAATTTGTTGGTAGTAATATAGTATAATTATTTAATTACTCGAAAAGAAAATACAATAAATCCATTGAGTCATTTTATTTTCCAACTTGTTATACGAATATAATTTTATATAATATATATATATATTTTCTTAAATACATTAAATTATTAGATATTTTACTATCATACCATTTTATTCAACCTGTAGTTTAAAAGGAGAACATAAATTCTAAACATATTCGATTAAAAAAAAAACCATAATAGGATTTCATTATTGGACTTAGCTCAATGTAATTTTTTAGAAAAGAGTTTGAAACTATGTTTTGAATAAATAAACTTCATTTATAAGTATATTTAAAACTTTATCCTTAACTAGAAAATAATACAAAATAATGACTTATTAGATAATTTTAAATAGAGTTTCTTATATAATTTTTTCTTAGTTAAATTAAATAGGAATTCCAAATTAATTTTATAAAATTTAGAAGAAAAGCCACTAAAAAAATGTAAAATTATTGCCCTAAATTGATAAACAAATCATATCCAAAATTATGATGATCACAATTAATTGGTTGAGATCCGGTAAGTACAAAATTTCAATTTTGCACTCCACGAACATTTGACTTTGACTGCCATGTCAGCACACCAAAGCTTGCCACCTCATCACATGTGGGTCCCAGAGCTGACGTGCGTTGGTAGTTGACTGTCTCCCTTAACCTTTGAACTTTCAAAATAACTAGAAAACCACATCTGCAAAAACAAAAAAAAAAAAAAAAAAAAAAATGTAAATATAAATATAAATACAAGTCTAAAATTGCAACCAATAGCCAAACCTTTTTTCCCCCGAAATCTCTTCTCTCATCTCTCCTCCCCTCTGCACAAATTTCTGTCCAGCAAGCAATCGCAGAGAGAGGAAGAGACAGTTGACTCTGAGATATAGTTCCTCTCCACTCCATTCTACCTCCTTACAGAAAGCTCTCATCTTGTCTGTTCTCACTCCCAAATCCTCTGTAAGTTTATTCTTTTGACTTGCATACATTCGTTTAATCGAATTTCAGATCTATACAGTTTTGCCTCTTTTATCCACTGTAAAACTTAATCTACATGTAATGGAGAGTAACTATTCGGCTCTTAGCAAGGATTCATATTTGGAACTACAATTACATAATGGTAGTAGAAATTCGATACCCCCTGAAAAATCTCATGACAAGCTGCACCCTTTTGATGAAGAAAGCTTCGACAACAATGTTGACCGTGGAGGTCTTGTTTCTTGCGACGATGATGATCTGGATCTGGATTTTGATGATCAGTCGCATATTCTTAATAAACCCGGTAAAGGGTCTGGTATATCCGGTGCCGTGTTTAATCTCACCACATCGATTATTGGGGCTGGCATCATGGCCTTGCCTGCTACCATGAAAGTTTTGGGATTAGTTGTGGGGTTTATTATGATAATATTGATGGGAATATTGTCTGAAATTAGCGTTGAGTTTCTGGTTAGGTTTGCGGTGGCTTCTAAGGCTAAATCCTATGGTGAAGTTGTGCAGTGTGCACTAGGGAGAACTGCTAGGGTTTTGTCTGAGATTTGCATAGTCGTGAACAATGCTGGTGTCCTGATTGTGTATTTGATAATTATTGGGGATGTCATGTCCGGATCGAAGCATCATGTTGGGGTTTTCGATCAGTGGTTAGGGAATGGAATGTGGGATCATAGGAAGTTGTTGATTTTAGTTGTGGTGGTGATTTTTTTAGCACCACTTTGTGCGTTGAATAAGATTGATTCGTTGAGCTTGACATCGGCTGCTTCGGTTGTTCTCGCAGTTGTTTTTGTTGTAGTTTGTTTCGTTGTTGCATTTATTAAGCTTCTTGAAGGGAAAATAGATCCTCCAAGGATGAGTCCTGACTTTGGATCTAAAAGAGCGATTTTGGATTTACTTGTGGTGATCCCAATCATGTCAAATGCTTATGTTTGTCATTTTAATGTGCAACCTATATATAATGAACTAGAAGGCCGATCTCCTCACAAGATGAATCGGGTGGGTAGGATCACAACCATTCTTTGCGTTCTAGTCTATGCTTCGACAGCAATATCAGGATATCTGCTTTTTGGGAAGGATATTGAATCGGATGTGCTGACCAACTTTGATAAGGATCTTGGTATTCGTTTTAGCTCTGCCTTGAATTATATTGTTCGGGTTGGCTATATTCTTCATTTGGTTCTTGTTTTCCCAGTTATTCATTTCTCCCTACGACAAACTGTGGATGCTTTGGTATTTGAGGGATCACCTCCTCTTCCGGAGAGTAGGAAGAGGTCTTTCGCATTAACGGTTGTATTGCTACTGCTTACTTATCTTGGATCTACTATGATTCCCAATATATGGACAGCTTTCAAGTTTACTGGGGCTACAACAGCAGTGTCGTTAGGATTCATATTTCCATCTCTTATTGCTTTAAGGTTAGGACATCGAGTGAATTTGAGCTTGCGAGAAAAGTTCTTATCTTGGTCAATGTTGATGTTGGCCATAGTAGTTAGTATTGTTGGAACAATTGGAAATGTTTATAGTATTAGAAGCAAATCTGAATGATTTTTTAGTAATGTAGACTTGTATCAAATTTTACAAAATTTACAAAATAATGATGACACTCATCTCTTATTTATGTTGCTCTTCTTTGGTTTCACTGTTTTTTCTATCCTCTTCAGAGATATAGTTGTTGCATGAGAGTATTCGAAAGATTGTTTGAGTAGAATGATTGTTTGAAAGTGCCATCAGAAGTAGGTTCACTCAACATTCATTTCTTTCAATTATTTGCCATAATTGATTTCTTCAATTCCATGTTTATTGTTTCCCTGCAAAACAGTTGTACTCCATAATGCTGCTGCAATCGGACAAGCAATCTTTACTCTCTTGTTTTAAAAAATATTGAACTCTAACGATTGCAATCTGACGTGAGACTGAGAAGTTACTTTCATAACACTGCCTGATAAATGATATAAAACTCTGTATTCCCCGAAATTGTTCAGTTGAGAACAAACAACTCTTCTGCATTTGTTGCTTTCCAACTATTGGCATCAATTCATATCAGAAATTTCTCTCTATGAGGATTCAAGTTGTTAATTTAATCAGAAACTCTAGCTGCAGTTTCTTCATTCACGTTCAGACAGCCTTGAATCCGATTTCATCTTAATAAGCTGGTTGCTCTGTTAAGTGCACTAACAGATTGTCTTTAGAATTGGCAGATTACAGTTTCTAAGAGGTCATATGATAACCAATTTATTCGGGTACAGTAGACAAATTGCTAAAATCTTTTTTTGAAAAGAAAAAGAAGGATAATGTGATGCTTAATCTTCATTACTCTGTTAAGCTTCGAAAATCTCAATGCCAACCAACTTAAGGAAAACATGTGTTTAGTTTAAGGAAAAGTGTGTTTAGTTTAAGGAAAAGTGTGTTTAGAATAGTTGTGGAATTAGTCAACAGTGTATTCTATATCAGTTATTTTCCTCCATCAATTTTATTTTCCATTATTCCTATTATCTACCACTATCCCATTTTGTTTTAGTTGCCATTTATGTAGAAAGTAGTAGGTAGTAGATTTTGTATTTAAAGGCTGCAAGTTTAATGAATGAGGGGTCGAAAAATTGTTGTTCAAGTGTGGTTTATTCTCACCTAATGAGAAAATATTTACTGAAAAATTAATTGGCTTATGACTGAATCCTATCAATTGGTATCAGAATCATGTTTATTAGCAAAAAAAAGAACTGAAAATCTAGAAGTCAGCATGGGCAGATTGCAGGACAGCCTAAGCCGGATGGAGGTGAGATTTGCCGACAAGTTCCACCGGATTGAAGACACCCTCAAGCGGCTGACAAACACCTTGCTGTTAAACTGCAAAGGTTCCAGCAGCAACACACCGGGCCGGCCTGGCCAGACGCGACCATATCGCAATGAGCCAAAACCGTTCACGCAAAGTGTGACTTACATAACATCCAAAGCAATATCCGATGGGTTTCATCTTCGTGTTGCTTACACGTACGGTGAATCAGCTACACAGAAGGCGTATCCCAATTGTGAAGCTGTTCTTTGCAAGCAATTTGACACCGCTTTTGAAGCTATAGCGGTGGCTTATGGAGCGTGCTGTCTTGACAATTGAGAATTCTTTAGGGGAGAGCTTTAGCAAAAGGCTCGACCTTCTCCGCAAACAAGAACAGAAAAGCTCGGGAAGGGAGGGAAGGAAATTGAGGGAAAGCACCGACTAAAATTAAAAAAAAAAAGTCTGGGAAGGAAGGGAGGCAGATCGCGTTGGAAGATTGAGAGCTGCGTTGCACAGAGAGTTGAGACAAAAGAGTTGTGCTGCCAAAAAAAAAAAAAAAAGGAAAACTACAGAAGGCTGCCAGGAATCAGAGAACACTCTTGGATGGCCTTTGACAAGCATTCTAAAATGGTGATGATGTGGCATTTTTTTTTAATTTTTTTTTGTGAACTACAGATGTAGAGGGGCAATTAAATGTTGCAGCACGGTCCGAAAATTAGACACAGCCTTGGATGAAATTCTGGACGAACTAAAAAAAATTCAAAGCGCCAAGGAAGATGGCCGAAGAAGATGGCACAAGTCGGTTGTCTGAACCTTGAGGACAAGGTTCTTGAAAAAAGGAGGAGTAATGTTAAGCTTCGAAAGTCTCAATGCCAAACAATTTATGGAAAACATGTGTTTAGTTTAAGGAAAAGTGTGTTTAGAATAGTTGTGGAATTAGTCAACAGTATATCCTATATCTCTTGTTTTTCGTCATCAGTTTGATTTCCCATTATTCCCATTATCTATCACTATCCCATTTTGTTTTAATTACCTTAGAAGTAGGAAGTAACAGGGAATAGTTTTTGTATTTAAAGGCTGCAAGTTTAATGAATGGGAGGTCGAAAAATTGTTGTTCAAATGCAGTTTATTCTCACCCAAAGAAAAAAATGTTTACTGAAAAATTAATTGACTTCTGACTGGAACCTATCATACTCGAAGTTGGATTACCAACAGGTGTTTGGAGCGGATATATTTGCACGGTCTTGCTGAGCTATTAGCAAGATAAGGGTCCTCATGGAATTAAGATAGCAGAGTTCATTCTCTACCCTCTTGATGAAGTTGTGACTAGCTACACAGGGAAGTTCTGGTGCCTGGGTGTGTCTCCACGCACACGCACACGCAATCGAAAGGACTGATTTCAAATACCCATTGGATGGTATAGAGTGTATGATCTCTTTCTCCTTTCCTCTAGCATGGTCAAGAGTTCTTTATCCATTATGGATTGTAGCAACCAAGTACCTTACCTCTATTGAGGTTGTCCGCACCAACCATACATGCAATTTCGAAGTGATCCAAATGGATTTCCTCACAAAATTCTCTCGTTTTGATTGTTACTGATAACAAATTATCTGCTGCATTACATAACTTACTAAATTTTACTAGATTATTTATAAAAAAATTAATCAACATTCATTGATTAATTTCCAAATTATCAAACTAGCATCGACTCGAGGCAGGTTCGAGTTTATGTTTTATAGGGGCAAGTTGAGTTCGATTGTGGAGAAACTTGCTCCAAAACCCACTTATAATCCCTACGTATCAGTCCTATAAATTAGAAATTTTTACCGAACTCTCTTTAAACTAGAACATATTTAAATCTAATTATTCATACTCATTTATAGAAATATGTTAACGGGTAATTCTCGTGATTTCTAATTTATTATCACGTATTAATTACATATCTTTATATATTTTTTGTATCATCAAATGATTACTTTATTTAAAATTTATTAACGTTATCATAAACTTATATATATTTAATTGTGGAAACAATTAATACACTAAATCTAAGAATTAATTACATATAACTGATATAATTGACATTTAACTAATGAG